AGACAGAAGCCCTAGGGTGGTGTACTTATGGCAGTCTCTGTTACTAAGCAGATGGGCTGCTGCATTTTCTACCAGCTAGAGCTTTTCAGGCTACGTGGCTTCATTACTAGGAATAGTGGATAGCAATAATCAAGCTTGGAGGTCACAAATGTGTGGCTCACAGTGGCCAAGCCTGAGCCTGTTTAGCGGGTGAGTCTCCTTGCCAGTTGCAGCTGGCTATTTGGCCATCCAATAGCAATGAGGAAACCAGAAGGACTTCAAAGTTGTAAACCAACAAAGACCTAAATAAGAGAAGGTATTTGTTGAATAAATTGTTTTAAAATTTCTTTGCCCATTTCTGCCTATCAGCTGTCTTTTTTCCCCTTTTTCCCTTGTTTGTTTGTTTGTTTGTTTGTTTAGAAAAATCATAGGTTATTTTAAAATGAGTTAACCTGATAGTTTCTGTGGCCTAGCAGGCCTTGTATTAAGAGATGCCGGATCCTGCACTCCATGTGATGCAAACCTCTCACTGAAATCAGCTAATTCAACGAAGAGTTGGCAAAAGCAGTTTAAAGTGTATGTCACAATGCATATTCCTTTCCTCCCGGGCCATATCCTCCCTCCCAGACAGGCACACATATCAACTCCAAGTAGCTGGCTTGGTGCAAGCGTGGGAAGGGAGGTGAGAGTGTGTCTGTAATGGCCAAGTTGCAGTTGCTTTTAACACCCTGAAGTTGCAATAGCCCCTACTGCTTCTGGGTCCCAACTCTGGGAGGGGCACTGGCCGATGGACCTCAGTGGTGACAGAAAAAGCCTTAGTTTCATTTTCTATCTGAAAGACAACACTGGTAATGCAGTACAGCCTCAGCTAGTGCTCCACTAGTACAGCACCCCCTTACCACTGTACTCACTTTCAACACTGATATTAGCTTAGGTCCCACTGTGGGACTTCATCTTGAAGTCTTTAAACCATGATTTGAGGACTTCAATGGCTCAGACAGGTTTGATACAGGAGTGGGTGGGTGAGATTCTGTGGCCTGCGTTGTGCAGGAGGTCAGACTAGATGATCATAATGGTCCCTTCTGACCTTAAAGTCTATGATTTTATTATTCTATCCCAATATCTGGCCTGAAACCAATGCCGCCAGCTGAGTTATCACACAGCTGTATTAGGCGTAGGTAACTGATCCAAACGGACTGCACTGAACACTTTTTTATGTTCAAGTTTAACTAAGTTGCATTGTTGGCGCAGAAATGAGTCACTGCTGTAAAATTTCTTCTGTGTCTGCTGTTTAGACAGGATGCATTGTAGGCGTTAGAAAGAGGAGAGGAAGAGCTGCTCTCTGTACATGTGATCTAAGGGTCACCGTAGGTTACATTTTTAGGATATGAAGAAGAATGAAATCTCTGTACACTATGGTCCAGGTTCTCTTGCCTTACTCATGATGAGTAGTACCTCATTCCTCCAACAGCCCCAATAAAATCAATAGGATTACTCTGGGAGAACGGAACTCAACATGTATAAAGGATTTCTGAATCTGCCCCAAGTGACTGAGTTTTTTATGACATATCTAATTTTAGTTGTGCTTAAAATACAGTGTATAAAGTGCTTTATATGGAGATTCCCCGTAATTGTGTGGGGTTTGACATTTGGATTTTAACAGCTTAGCTGCTGGCTATATGGTTCCCTATAGTTCCTATACCTGTTGTGTCAGAATTGGATATTCATGATGTAATAACAAGTAGGGCTGTCAAGCGATTAAAAAAATTAATCATCATTAATTGCATGATTAAAAAAATTAATCATGATTGATTGATCACACTGTTAAATAATAGTATACCATTTGTTGAAATATTTTTTGGATGTTTTCTACATTTTCAAATATATTGATTTCAATTAAAACACAGAATATAAAGTGTACAGTGCTCACTTTATAGTTATTTTTATTACAAATATTTACACTGTAAAAAACAAAAGAAATCATATTTTTCAATTCACCTAATACAAGTACTGTAGTGCAATCTCTTTATCATGAAAGTTGAACTTACAAATATAGAATTATGTACAAAAATAACTGCATTCAAAAACAAAACAATGTAAAACTTTAGAGCCTACAAGTCCACTCAGTCCTACTTCTTGTTCAGCCAATCACTCAGCCAAACAAGTTTGGTTACAATTTACAGGAGATAATGCTGCCCACTTCTTGTTTACAATGTCACCTGAAAGTGAGAACAGGTGTTGGCATGGCACTACTGTAGCCAGTGTCACAAGATATTTACATGCCAGATGCGCTAAAGATACATATGTTCCTTCATGCTTCAACCATTCCAGAGGACATGCCTCCATGCTGATGAGCGGTCCTGCTTGATAACGATCCAAAGCAGTGCAGCCCGATGCATGTTCATTTTTATCATCTTAGTCAGATGCCACCAGCAGAAGGTTGATTTTCTTTTTTGGTGGTTTTGGTTCTGTAGTTTCCGCATACGAGTATCGCTCTTTTAAGACTTCTGAAAGCATGTTCCACACCTCGTCCCTCTCAGATTTTGGAAGGCACTTCAGATTCTTAAATCTTGGGTTGAGTATTGTAGCTATCTTTAGAAATCTCACATTTTTGGAAGGCACTTCAGAGTCTTAAACCTTGGGTCGAGTATTGTAGCTATTATTAGAAATCTCACATTGGTACCTTCTTTGCATTTTGTCAAATCTGCAGTGAAAGTGTTCTTAAAATGAACAACATGTGCTGGGTCATCATCCAAGACTGCTATAACATGAAACATATGGCAGAATGCAGGTAAAACAGAGAAGGAGACAGACAATTCTCCCACAAGGAGATCAATCACAAATTATTTAATGCATTATTTTTTTAACAAGTGTTATCAGCATGGAAGCACATCCTCTGGTTCTTAGCAGCAGAGCAGATTGTTTGATTTTTAAGAAATAAGGTTTCATTCTATTGTACTTTCTTTTCAGAGGTGGAATGGTTCAGACCAGTGAACAATATGAATTTGTGCACCATGCACTGAGTTTGTATGAAAGCAGACTTTCTGCAGAAGCTGTCCAGTGAAACCATGAAGGGTGATCAGAATGTCAATCTCTTGAGGTAATTTGTTTCATTACCTACCAGCAACTTCTTCAAGGAGTTTACTGCAGTGGATGCTTTGAAGCCAACTTGTGAAAGGATTGTGGATGGTTTGGCAAAAATATAAAGATTGCCAGACCCTTACTGTATATGAATGTATTGTAAGCTTCCCAAAAATGATTTTTAAAGAAGGTACTGTACTGATGCTACATGTGGATTTCACATATATATAGCTAAAAGGTGGATTTATTTCTGTAATAACAATATCTGCTATACAGAATGTATGTACGGTATGTACTACTACTGCTGCAGTCAGATGGAAACTGGAACTTCTACAGAAGAAATGTTTTTCTAAGTGTATAAATGCTTTAACATTTGCCAACTCTGTCTTGTGAATGGACTGTCAGCTGTTAAACTGTACCTGTTAAGTGCTATTACCTATTATGTGGTGAGCTTATTTCTTGGCCACATAAGACTCTTGCTGCTAATGTTGCAAGTGATCAATTATGGATTTAAGGGGAAGAAAGTCCTTTTGTTTTTGAAACTGTTCAAAAGCAGTTATATCTTTTATATGGAAATATCTGTTCTTCATACTATTAGCTATTTAATGTGTATTTACAGTAGGTCCTATAAAGCAGTTACAGAGCACAACCTCTGTTATTCAGTGTATATGTATGTATTTACTCTATACTGTTGATTGTACTCTATACTGTTAGAAGCTGCTTCTGCTCCTGACCTGAATCCAGTGTATTTGTAAATTGTATGTCATTTTACTTTTAAAAGAAACTTTGTAGCATATATTAAATGGTAAGGATTTTAAATATTTGTCTGTCTTTTACTAAGAGGGGATTTTTTGAATATGTTGTCTACATGTTGTATCTCTTCTGTTAAGAAATGGATGCCTTTGGAAATATGAACTGTTCTGTAACAGGAACAAAAAACAGTTGTATAAAAAATGCTGCTATGAATGTTTCCTTATATTTCTGCACGGATTTGTTCTTTAAAAGAAATGTGAATCTAGCATAACTACTTACAACACTAGGAGGTCTGCACCTAGGATAAAATCAGTTTTTAATTCAATGATGTTGACTTTGCTTCATATTGACAATAAACTACACTTGATACAAAATAGTTAGTGAATCTGGAGTTTTTTTGCGTACAGTAATTAACCATTACTATTATTATAATACCACAATAAGGCAAATGTAGTCCAATCTGCTCTAGTTAATTTCATGCTGTCTTCTGACCATTTGGAGGGTCAAATCATTGAGGCCTTTTATTCAGCTTTTAGTTAAGGCAAATTCTCACTGTATGTAGGCAAAATGGATCAGATGATGTTGAAGCAAAGTCAACATCACTTGATCCCATAATGGGAGTGTACATGAGTAAGGACTTAGTAAAGAACTCAGAGATTTGCACTCCCACCATGTATGGTTTTCAGAACTCATAAAGAGGAGTTGGAAGTTGTATTTAATAATGTGAATTTGCTTGATGGACTCACAACATTTCATTACAGAAACTGTGTATGGTGTTTACTGAATAGCATGGTATGTGTTTATTCAGTACAATCCAAATCACCTGCAGACGTGTAATGTTTCATGAACAGTCAATTACATTAAATTACAATCCCTTTTCCTTATATTTTTAGTCTAGTACATTGTTCAGATGTCGAAACATCTTTTTGTTTGTGTGTGTGGCTTGGTAGTTTCAAAATCTACCCCTCTTTTGCTTGGATGTTTCCAAAATAAATCAGAGTCAGTAAACTCTGAAGAATCATATGAAAGGACAAAGTAGTATAAAATTCCCCAAAACTATTGAATAGAAGGAAGTGCTCGTCACTGACTTTTCCCCCTGTGAAGGCACATTTCCTTCCTAGCCTTCGCTTCACTTATCTGAGGTGGTGATTTTGTGTGTGTGTGTGTATGGTTTTTTTTTGTTTTTTTTTTAAAGAGAAGCATGGGGAGTTGTTAGATGGAAAATGGATCCTTTATTTCATGTCCTGATTTTCACCTGCCTGGCCTTCAAGATCTCAGGTAAGTGCATCTCCCAGGTTCCCCCCTCCGTTCCCGTTCTCATTCTGTCACTAACCAGGGCTCCCAAGGGTTGCTTGAAACTTATTCAATGCTGTGAAAATAGAACCACTTCTCAGCCTGAGTTTATACAAGATGGATCGGGGGGAGGGCAGGGCCAACAAAGCCAGTACTGTTTAGATTTCTCGCCAAAGGAAAATAAACCCTCTCTCCTTGAATGTTGTATATACATCATTTTTTAAAAAAGATCTCTGACTAGACAATCCAATGGCTGAGTCCTGAGCCAGGTTCCTTGGAGAAGAGATTCAGATTACTTATTAAGGCTTTGTGAAACTTACAAAAGCAGAAGCTTCTTGGGGAACTTAGTTAGAGCACAATCTTATGTCCTGTGCCATAAGAAAGGGGGAATGAAATAACAAAGGAAATCATATGAATTGTTTTTAAAATGTTTTGTTTATCTAGTGAAGCCTGAAACTTTGACTAAATAACTGACTTTTAAAAAAAAATTAAAGTGATCCTGAGATTGATTTTGAACCATCCAATTCTGTTCTCTGAAACAAGGGGGAATTTGGGGTTGGGGAAGTTTGATTTCAGTGAATGATTTTTCTTCTGTTCATTTCAACGTTGGATGTGTACATTTAAGCTGGGATGATAAAAGAATCAATCTGACCTGTAGTGGGATGGTTACAAAATAATGACAAGAGGAGTCAATGTATTTAGGAGTGTAAGCTACACAGAGTTTGTATCAGTCAAAAGTCCCCATCCTTTGTAAAACATACATGAAAAGCTAAATGATAGCCCTGGAGAGACAAATACATTTTGGAAAGTCCCCTTTTCTGTCCCTCCTTCCCCCTCCAAATACTATGATTTCCTTAAATCAATGTGCAGTCAGATACAGTGGATTTAACTTGTGGTGACAGTAAGAAAGGCTAATGGATCTCCGTGTATTTGAAGAGAAGGGAGTGGGTTTTTCAGAAATGAGCTGAAAGTCAATAGCCCCCTCGATAGCCTTTTAATTCAAGTTTGATTTCTTTTGTTTTTACGTAGAAGGTCAAGATGAACTTTACCAAAAAGTGTTTGTTGCATTCTTGCCCTTTGCAGTTCCCAGACCAAACAATTGTGATTTTTGTGGCTTTTAAAATCATTTCTGTCGGTTCAGGTCAGAAAAACTGAGATAAACCGAAAGAAAGAGGAAAAAAAGAGGTTTATTTTTAAGTCATTGGGATTTATTTTTTAAGGGCCACATATGATTTGTTGTATTTTTATGGGTTTTTCATCTTCCAGAAGGGTTTCTGATTATCCATGTCCAGAAACGGCAATGTCTTGTTGGAGGCAAAACAGCATTTGTGGGCAAGTGCAATCTGACTGATCCAAACCAGCAGTGGAGGTGGACAGAGGATGAGAAGTTGCTCCAGGTTAGATCTGGCCAGTGTTTGGGCATCTCCAAGTCCTCTGCTGCATCATCCCGCAGCATCTTCATAGACTGCCCTCAGGCACCCAGCTGGATCTTCCACAACACGGAAGGGCTCCTCCAGGTGGCAAACAGCTCTCTCTTTCTCACAAAACAAGGCCCGAGGGTAATGATCAAGAAGGGTAGAAAATACCCCCATAGCTGGAAGCAAATAGATGTCGACGACAAGGGAAAAACTGCCTATGAAAATCTGTGCCCACACAAAGGTGAGCTTATCCTTTCAGGCAGTGTCCTGGGAGCTCTGGTAACAATACTGTCTCTGTTGCACACACTCACATTTTAAGGACTATGACATTACTCGTGGGAGGTTAATTTAAAGGATTGTTCAGAATCCAAAATCAGAATGCCTTAAAAAGACTAGTTTTAAGACAGCCATGATAGCTGCCTTTCTGACATTCAGTGTTTTTGCTAGTCTGGGTGATATTTTCAGACTGGGTGTTCCCTTTTCTGTTTCATTTTTGGGCCCAAATCTTTACGTACAGGCTTAATCCACCAGACTCTCGTGCTATTTACTTCCCAAAAAAAGAATAATATAATTTTTGGTGCTGCTTTCATGTAGTTTATACCAATGTGAAATTATTCAGATCCTCCTCCTGATCCACTTTATCATAGATATGCACGTTTCAAAAATCTACCCAAAGGGGCAGAGTCATCTGAAAAATGGGATCGATATAGTACAACCTCACTGATAACCTGAATGCTTGTTCCCAATGAACAAAGAGCCCACACATTCTATTGCTTATGCAGCAGTATCACTATACCAATATGGGGAATATTCCCTGTAACAAATACAAAATCCTCAGTATAATGAACTGAATCCAAACCTATGGAAATACTGGTTATAAGGTTTTAAGATGTATATGTCTGTGTGTACCTCTGTATGCGGTATGTGTTTATATACAGCTATAATATAAAATGTGGCTAGAAAGGGTCAGAATGTTGTTTAATAATCTAAGTTGACAGCTTTTGCTTTGTTGTTTATTTGTTAGAGTTCACAGTAGCACTTTTCAGTATTGTCCTGTGCTATGATTTAGCAGTGCACTAAAGTAAATCATAATGACCTACCTAGCTAGCTCTTTATTACAAAGACAAAGAGCTGCATCACATGTGATTTATTCCATCCTTTAAAAAAATTGCTTTAAAATTTATACATGAATGTGTCATATGACCATCTGACGTTTTTTAGGAAGTTTAAAACAAAATGAGCGAGTTGTTATAAGACTTTTTTGTCAGTTATTGTTATTTTTGTAATCTATTTTACATTACATGTTTTGGGCCTGATTCACATCTGATTTACCATTTTTAATAAGATTAGGCCTAATCCTACAACAATTTACATAAATTTACTCAAAGCAGTGGGACTGCTCACCTGAGTTTGTCATGAAGATGAATGTTTATGGAATCGGGGCCACTGTATGGGTGTAAAATAGATCAAGAGGACACATAGTATATTGTTGTGAGTGTCTACGGAATGCACATGGGAGCTAAGATAGTAAAAGAAAAAGGGGTTGGCTGGTGGGTAATTTGATATTGTCACTTGAGTCCACATTCCAGCTTTGAAACTGTATTTCATGAGCATTCTTTTTTAAAAAAATACAAGCCTATTTGAAGTACAATATATGACACTGAATTGCATTTTGGGGGCTCTATTGTGCCTTCCATTTTTAAGCAGATGTCCTCATGGACTTCTTTGTGGAGTTCCGCTGAAAAATCAGTAGTACAATATGTCTCAGTTATCATTTTCGTCAGATAACTAAAAATTTCAAAGCATTCAACAGGCACTAATATCATGTGTTTATAATATCATAACAAGGACTGTAAAGGAGTAGACTTAAGCACAGAATGCTGCAACTTTCTTCATAAAAGTATAAAACACTGAATACTATAGAAAAAAATCATAATGCTAATTGTCCCAGTCATAAAGTCTATCTCTGGGCAAAATTTTTCAACTTGGATGCCTAAAATTAGGCTCCACATTTAGGCACCTAAACAAATGGGCTGATTGTCGGAGGTGCTGAACACCTGCATCTGACATTGACAACAATGGGAGCGGTGCATGATCAGCAGCTTTCATTTGTTTAGGTGTCTAAATATAGATTTAAAATGATAGCTTTAGGGACTCAGGTTGGAAAATGTTGGCTTTAGTCTTTATTCAGGTAAAATTACACAGTAAGGACTGCATACTGTCTTCAGAATAGGAATGGATGCAAATTATTCTACTCTGGTAATGCTCTATTTTAATATAATTACTCTTTGCTTTTATGGTAGTTACCATGCACTGACTAGTGAGGTTTTGGCAAAGGAATGATTGAGTCTTGCAAAAAAAGAAAACCAAGCTGAATCTCTGCCCAAACATCTAACCAAATTTGAAATGGGACAAGCTCCAAACCCAAGAAGTGCAACTATCTCTATAATAGGCCTAATCCAAACACCAAATATGAACATCCTGAACTTTGGGAAAGTTTGAATTTGGATTTCAATTTCAACAAGTGTTTGGATACAGAATTTTGGTTCTAGAGCACATATGGTCTCTAAAGCACATATGACTCTTTGTGAAGGTCAGAGTCAGTTTGGATAAGTATCCCATCCCTAACCAGTCAGAAGTGACTTCTTAATCCAACACAGGCCTTTCCTTCCTTCGCCATCTCACAAAATCCATGACTGAGTTTCAGTGAGTCTGGCAGTTGGTTGGACCAAATTCCATCATCCAGGGGCCAATCTTGCAAGGTGCTATGTGTCCCCATGAGGTGCTGAGTTTCTTAAACTCCCACTGAAGTCAGTAAGAGTTGAGGGCACTCAGCCTCTTCTAGGATGAACCTCAAATCCCTAAGGTCTTCTTTTCAAGGTCAAAAACACAATTCTGGGGCACACTAATCCATGGAAGGCTCACATGATTGTGAAAGTTCAAGACAGCTTCTAGTGTTGTTAGATCTACTGAGTTTACACAATGAACTTGGGATAAAATAAGCAAAGTGGGTATGGGAAACTAGCAGCCTGTTGGACAGCACTAGAACTAGGAGCTAGGAGGAGTAAGGGAGTGTGTGAAAAGTCCCGGAAACAGAGAGAATGATCAGGAAAGGGATTGCACTTGAAGGAATAGAGGTTTTGAAGCATGATCAGGGAGCAAATTGGGAGATTTGGGAGGAAGGGAAAGATGGCGTTAGGAGTAGGATCTGTTTGTGTGAAACAAAAACTGCTCTTGGAAATGTATGTTAGAAGGGTTTCTCAAGTCCAAGATGGAAACTCTAGGCCATGGGGTGGAGAGAACCCGCAGAATAAGCTAGTGGTTAGGGAATTCAGTGGGCTGTAGGGTGTGCTGGTTCAAGACCAAACTCTACTTGATTTAGAGCAGGGACTTGAACCTTGGTCTTCCACATCCCAGTATTGGCCATTCTGAGGTAAGTCTCTCGCAGACTCTGCTGTTGGATCTGTTTCACTTTGCATAAATAATTAAATATTAATCAGCCCAGAGAGAAAGAAACACTTCCCAGGGCACTCACTTGGGATGTGGGAGTCAGAGGTTCAAGTCCCTGCTCTGCTAACCCTCACATTCCAGGTGAGTGCTCTAACCCCGGGGCTACTGGCTATTCTGGCATGGGTATCTTCTTCTCTCTGGTTTTTAGGGAAAAGTTTCAAAGGGCCTTGGTTTCATCCCCACGTAGAATGAAACCAAATTTCAAAACCTACATTTTTTTCCAGAAATTGAGTTGTTTTCCAGCTAGCCTTAGTATGGAGAGTAAATATAGCATATGCAGAAGTGGGGGACATAAAGAGAAGATCTCAAATGTTTGGTTTAAGTGTATATATTTCAGGGGAACTATTCAGTTAAACTGAATCATAGAGCATTTTGAAATGTGTCTATCACTAATCTACTTGGAACAAGACTACAATGTTGCTGGGTCTCCTGAGTCTTGCATGACTTACAAATGGAAATATGGGAGACTGAGGGATTCACAAAACCTCACACTCTGGCTCCACAACAGCCGTGTACACGATTTTCAAGTGGCACAATTATAGAATTGCACAAAACTTTATGTCCTGTAGATTATTTGGCAGTAACAAGATCTGGTAGCTGTTAGGTGAAAAAAGTGAAAGAGGAAATAGCCAAAATAATTGTCCACAGATAATTGCTGGGCCAGTACCGTTGTGATCTGTGGACAGCTGGCAAATGAGAAAAGAATGGTAAACTGGTCAAGTGGTTTGTGATTATTCACTCAGCTCTAGTAATCACCATGTAGCTTATATTCTGGTTTAGAAGACAGTAATATTGCATTGCCCCCCTCTATGGTATTGATATAGACCTATCCTGCTGTTCTTACTGCAGCAAACACTCCCATGTTTTTCCTAGGAGTAAAAACTTCAGGCCTGAACCCGATATAAATAAAGCACTTACACCATAAAGATAAAATGGATTTATCATGTATTGAGTACCTTAGTACAGCGTTTCTCAAATGTGGCCACCAGGGGCTTTTCTTGCGGCCACAGCCTCCTGGGCAGTGATGGGGTGGGGGAGGGCGCAAAGCAGCGGCCCCTCCCCAGGGGCCACCAGGAGTGGTTGGGCCATGCCCCACTCTGGAGAGAGACAAGCTGGAGAAGCAGGCAGCCAGTGAGTTCCCTGCCTTCCCGGAGTCAGTGGGGTTGGGCTTCAGCACTCGGGTGGCAGGTTCCAGCCATGGAGCTTCAGGCTCTGTCCCCAAGCCCTGTCCCTGGGTGCGGCCTTCGGGCTCCATTCCCTGGCTGCGTTGTGACGGACTCTGGTCCCAAGCTCACCCTGCCCCCCATCACCTCTGCCCCCCTGCTGCCTTCCCCAGTGCCCCATTGCCCTTGGCCTCTTCTGCCTCTGTACCCACCTCCCCATCGAAGGCTTAAATTTGTCCCCGGGCTTGCTGGGGCTGAGTGAGTCTGCTGTGAAAAGTGATATTTGTGTGTTTGCTAGTATCACTTTTCACAGCACACTTAGTAGCTAACAAGTCTAAAAAATAAATAAATAAAAAGAAACAATAAGAAAAAGACAATTTTTAAAGCACCTTATGTGTGTTTCTATTCTGTTTAGATCCCCTAAAGAATAGAGAAAACTGTACACTATTTTTATTATTGAGTTTGCAAAAAAAAAAAAACCTAACATAGATACATTACAATGATTTGGACATGTATCTGTGCATATTTATTTAATTTTTCCCTCATCTTAATTAAGTATTTTAGGGGA